TGTGGGTGTTGAAAGCGTGTAGCGAAGACCATTCATTTCATTACAGAAGGTTGCTAATGTACAAGCACAGGATCTCCAGCGGTTCATTTGTGTTACCGCCACCTTTGAACACCAGTGGCGTCTGGCACGGTTGGCATGAATTATTTATAGCCAGCTCGAGGACAGTTCTGTGCACACTCAGCGTCAACCTTATTGTGTTGTACTCCCACGTATACGCAGCTGCTAATTGCAGGTGAGTCAGGACTCAAATTTTGCATCAATTCAGTTTGATCTCCTGAATGCAGAACGTTTGGTTCTCATTTTCAGCCCATTATTTTGAGAGCAAGAAAAAGCCTACACATTATCAGGCTTTCCAGGAGCTGCTCAATAAACATCGCGTGGTCTCTCAATCTGGATTATTGCATCACACAACGCCCATGCAGCAAAGTTCTATTCAATTCGTGCAGTTGATGTTTTCTGTTCAGACTGGATGGGCGCCGACAAGCAGCAGCTGTGTTGGCATGCCAAGCGCTTTGTGGAGATTCAGGGAGATCAAAAGCAGAATATGTTGGGACCCCAAGGACGCTGCCAACCATATGACCATGTCACTGATGTGGTTTTCGATGATGAAAATTTGAAGGTGGTGATCATAAGGTCGGAAGTAGAGGGAGGCAGTGAAAACGATCTACTGATTTCAGTGCATGTTTCATGCACAATGAAAGTCGTTTCTTTCCTTGCCAAGCTTGCAAGCCCTACGATTGCCAGCATTGTGCATTGTTGCAGAGTTTCAACATGGCTAGTGGACCTGCAGGTCTCAAGACTGTGTGATTTCAGTGGCTGACAGCTGGCAAACAATCGCAGACCACCAGATGGAGAAACAACATAATGTGGGACACATAGCTCCCCTTGATTGCAAATCCCTCAACAACATTCCTAATGCTGGCAGCTCAAACCTGACTGCATAATGGTGCAGCTGCTACTTGTGCAAGTAGCTCCTTTCATTCTGTAACCCTGCCAAGATGCAAACCTGCTTCCAGAATCCTAAAGCCCTTTCCTGTGGTACTGCTTCCCCAATGTTGGGGAAGAACAGCCAATGGCCAGAGCCTTGAACGGCAACTCTAACACCTACGCTGAGGACTGGCGTCTACCCGAGCATCTCCAGGCTCCATTGCTGCTTGTCCAGAGCCATCCTGGCCACATCAATTGTGCTACTTTGGCCTACCGGCCAGTGGCCTTTAGAAACACCCCGTAACAAAATTTTGCCTTTCTTTGTGATGCAACCCACTTGTGAGGTTTCCTGACGAAGTGGCATGTCTAGAGGAGACGGAAACAGTGCCCGCGGGCCCCTTCAGTAGCGCGTAGCCGGCGGCCGGCAGTGGGGATCCACGGCGCCGCGCGCCACCCGTCGCAGGACGAATGGTCGCCCAAGTGCCCGCCCCTGAGAGCTGTGGCATATCGCACCGTCCGTGTCCGATCAAAAGTTTGTCCTTTCGTTGGTTCGATGCAAAGCCATCCTTGCTGATCCCGGCATCACTGGCGGCGATCCGCCGGCCCGCGGGCCCCTGGAGGCCGGCACTGCCAGAATCTCGCCACCCGCGCGATCAGCGCGACGGGCGGCACGCGGCGCGATGGATCCCCATATCCGGCCGCCAGCTACGCGCTGCTGAGGCGCCTGCATGCGCTATTCCCGAGCTGGCGGTCCTCCGCCGGCCCAACTCCGCCCCTCCCCGCCAGAACCGCGCCACCCCCGCGATTAGCGCGGCGGGCGGAGCACGGGGCGATGGGGCCCCAGCGCCAGCTGCCAAGACCTGCGAATAAGGGCCACTGGGCACCCTCGAACGAGGGCGCCACCAACGCAGTGAGCGGGCCGCCAGCAGGTCCAATGGGCGGTCCCGGCGGTCGCTCTGGTTCGCAGCTGCCGGCGCCCCGCAAACGGGACGAGCGGCCGGAGATTCGCCAACCTGTCTTCGGTCGCAGCTCCGTGCTCACTTTGGGGCGCGAGGCGCCCCTCGCAAGCGCTCCTGGGTCCACGGCCCGTGGCTGCGCCGCTGGCCGCGCCACCATCGCTGATCGCCGGCGCTGGCGCCGGCGTGTGGGGCGGGGCGCCCCTGGCGCCACAATGTACTGGGCGAAGCCCTGGGATATAAGGCTATATCCCGGGATATAAGGCAAAAACGCTCCATACAGACTGGGATATAAGGCCGTTTTACCCCCGATTGCCTATATCGCCTCTCAATGGCTGGCGGCGCCTCGACAGCAACGTTGCCTTGTGGCAGCGCGGGGCTGCGTCTTGCCGTGTTGATTTTCCTCCAGCCAGGCGCACCTTCATCCCACCCTGTGTGCTGACGCCACCAAGCGCCTTGCCCCGCTGGCACGCAGAGTCACACGCCGTTGGAGCGTTCCAAACCCACGGTCACCAAACACCATGACCCGCCTCCGGATGATGGGTGCTTTTGTCCCTAGCACCCAGCCAGCCAACCCCAATCCCTGCCCGCCCGCGCCTCGAACGCCGGCCCGCCGGGAGCCCCGCCGAGAGGGGCACCACGATGCCGAGCGGCCGGGACGCCTAGGTCCGCGTCCGCTCGATCCCTCGCGCCCTTTCGCGCATCCCTACAGTGCCGCTTAGTCGGGAACCCCCCTGTTCCCCCCCCGGCAATGGAGGGGGTCCAGGTGTTCCCGTCGGAGCTGAAGTTCAACTTCGAGCTGCGCAAGGAGCTGACCACGACGCTGACGCTGTCCAACGCCGGCCCCCAGCGCCTGGCGTTCAAGGTCCTGACCACCAACCCCGACAAGTACTGCGTCAGGCCGTGCATGGGCGTCATCGAGCCGCGGGGGTCCCTGGAGGCGGTGGTGGCGATGCAGGCCTACTTCGAGGTGCCCCACGACCTGCACAACTGCGAGGACGTGTTCCTGATCCAGAGCAAGCCCGCACCGCCCGATTTGAAGACCATCACGGAAAAGACCTTCCCCTCTGCGGAGGACAGCGGCGCCAACGGATCCGTGCATCAGACGCGGCTGCCCGTGCGGTTGGAGCTGCCCGACGAGGACAACCCGCTGCTGCTCAACCTTGCGCTGCAGACACTGGGCTCCGGGCCGGACGACCCGGAGGGGATCTCGGACGACGACGACGATGACGAGGAGGGGGACAGCGGGGGGCTGGAGGAGAGCGGGCACGAGCTGCGACGGTTCTTCACGGCCAACGCGGAGTTCGCGTCCGTGGCCAAGGACGTGCTGATGGACCACCTGGAAAAGATCATGAAGGAGAGGGACGAGCTGAAGCGGCAGGTGGTGATTCTGTCGCCGAGGGGGAGCCCGGCGCAGGCGGAGGAGGTGGCGATGACCCCCCGGCAGGAGAGGAGGTCCGCGGGCCTGGCGTGGCCCGTGGCGCTTGCCATGGCGGGCTCGTTCCTGCTGGGCCGGCTGACGGCTTGAGGGCCCGCCGCATGGCGCGGCGCGGGGAGGGGGATGGGGTAGGTAGGACGCTGTACGAAAAGGAAACCGTGGGTGGGTTCTTGAAAGTTGGAGAGAAAGAAAACGGGGTCCGGACGCCGCGCGGGCTCTGGAGGCGAGCCCGGTAGGTGTGGGTGCCTGGCGAGAGGCCAACGTGAGGCGTGGATGCTGTTCTGGAACTCCCCCCTGACCTTTTTTTGAATTTGTCTGCCTTAGCCAGGAAGTTGTTTCCGCGGTAATATCCCATTGGTTGGGGAGCTATGAGACATCGTCATGGTGTCTCTATAGCCTGTTGCGGGTTGGGGCAGACTGGAGGCAAGCTTCTTTGAAATAGTCCAGATAATGTGGCACAGAATTTGGGTGACGATTTTGGCTGATTGGCCACACGATTCGCGCTGCAGACTGCTTGCCTGCCATGGGGTCCATGGCAAAACAGTTTCCAGCAGTGTGTACAGGCAGCCTGCGTGCAAGTGTCATGGCGTGCTGAGATTAGCAGCAGTACCAGGTGCAAACCATTTTGGCTTGTTTGGACGCCATTTTACTGGATTTTCGTGTGGCTAGGAGTACCTGGTCCTATTTTCCCCTGGTTCCTTTGGCAATATTGCTTTGAAGCATGGCGCAAGACCCAGTTGCCCAAGCACCACAGATCGTTGAGGTGGGTTGCAGCCTATGGACATGTGCGCAGCGCAGCAGTTGTGGGAAGCAGCATTCTTTTCTGCCAGCACTGGGTACACAATTGCGGGTTCGCTGTTGCGCATGGGCCTGGAATAGCTAAGGACGTACTGGGAAGGAGAAATCAGGATGCCAGTCAGAGATACTAAAATGACTTGGGTTGCTGGTGTGTCTCTTGAGGTGCCCCAGTGGGCGGGGGCCCCCCTTTCAGTAGACAGCCACTTGATATTCTGAAATATCCTTACTCCAGCTGAAGGGTTTAATGCTTTGGTTGTTTGATCAATGTTTCTGGTTCCTATCATAGATTGCTAATTGTGGCGGAGGCCGGCTGGAAGTGTTCATGTTGATTGCACCTTGCGTTGCTGCCAGCCTGACATTCGCCCTGGAGCAATTCCCTCTGAATTCTAAGGTTCAAAATGGTGTGTTGCATGGAGTCTGGATGCGCTTCAGTGATTGGGCAGGGTTGGCCCATTTCATTGCAGAGGCAGGCATTGTGACTGCAGGATGTATCCTGCAACGGGATGCTGAGAAGGTGGGGCCGCTGTGTGGCTCTGTATGGCTCAACACGCGACCAAACCAACGATGCACCAAAGGGCATTCCCTGGCGGGTATCCTTCGCCCGCTTGTCCGCAACCAGCAATGTAAGTGCATGGACAATTTCCATGCAGCACATGTTTGCAGCTGCAATTGTGATGACATCCATGCAACGCACTGTGAGCTATCCTTGAGGACATCGCACAAAACATGCTGCTGTTTTCTGGTTAAATAGTCAGCGCAAAGCAGAGTCAATCCATTGTCTAGCACATTCTCGACCGGGCACCAGCCGTATTTAAACGTACGGTTACCTGTCACCGAAATATCACAGAATGTACACACTGGCAGATGCTGCGGAAAGAGCCCTATCCCTTCTCTCCAGGCTTCGCCTCGCCCTCCAACTGATGAAATCTGGGTTTTGCAGGGCGCTCGAGTCTGGTGAAGGGGTTTACATCACGCCCTGGGAATGGAACCCTTGGCTTGTCAAATTTAGGCTTGTACATTGCTGCTAACACCACATCGCCATCGCCCTTGATGACCAGGTCCTTGCCGAACCGCTTGGTCACCCACCAGATCCTCTTCAAGCTCAGTTTCTTGCCCAGCGAAAGGGCACACGACTGGCGAAGGATGTCGAACAACAGCGACAGGCAGTGGTAGTTGTCCGCAAAGGTGTAGTACGCCATGAACATCCTGAAAGTGATGTCATAGAACTTGACGATTTCATGGGCCTCCCAGTTCACCAGCCGTCCACAGAAAGTCGGCTTCTTCTTGGTCTTGTGGGTGAAGCCGTGGTCTTCCAGCTTGGCCAACAATAGGCGGGCGGGGATGCACACGCGGGGACACTGGAGCAGCTTCCCTGCTTCCTTGCTGCCGGGGTCAGATCCCGGCGGACCAATCTGTTGCGCTACGTAGATCTCAGCTCCCAGAAAAACGGTGTATTCTTTGTCAGGGGTCGAAGCGCAGGCCGTCGAAGCAGTGGCCTTTTTGTGTTGCAGCTTCAGCGTGGATGAGAAAAAAGCTCTCAAATCTTGCTCTAAGTTATGGCAGTCCCTCCTGGTGCCATTGACCCCGACGAGGAAGTTCGCCCCATACCTCACATACCTTATGCCAGTGAGAGAGGGTGCCTGCCAGCAGTCCGCGAACCTCAACAGCTCTGAAACCCATCTTTCACGAACAGCCAATGCGGCATAGCCGTCCTCGCTTCCTGGATGCATCCGTCCCACCTCCAGCACTCGCATCAAGTCTTCCATCCATCTGTCCAATTTTTGAAGGTAAACGTTGCACATTATCGGGCTAATGAGCGAAACCTGGGGAATACCTATTGACTTGTAGTTTGCTCCCTCCAAGTTGACGATGCCTGCACGATGGGCTCGATTCAGCAGACTCAAAAATTGCTCATCGCCTATTTTCTCGCTCACTGCTTGCAGCAGCGTGCTCTTGTTGAACTCACCCAGGCAGCCAGTCAAGTCAACCTCCAGGAAGTAGTCCACACCACCAAAGTTGTCTTTCACCTCTTTCAGCGCACTGTGGCAGCCTCTCTGGGGTCGAAAACCATGAACACATCTTGAAAACCCTGGGTCGAAAACAGCCTCCAATACCATCCTCATGGCTTCGGGAACCGTTCTGTGCCACCAAACAGGCACCAGTCGCGCTCCCCCACCTCTGAGTCGCTGTCGCGGCTCAAGCTGAATCGGTGCAGGGAAAGTGTACGACCCCTGCAGCAATTTTCTGCTCACTCTAGGCAGCCAGTCCCTCGCAAACGTGTCCAGCTGTTCCTGCGCTTCTTCCAGGCTCCCATGTCGCGAGTACATACTCAAGAACGCACATTCTAGCACACCTGTATCTGCAATGTATGGTAGAATTTCCTTGTTGAACAACCTCGGATTTCTTGTATTCTGTTCTTTCAAATCTTGCAGGGCTGCAGCAACAGGAACAGGACTGTCCCTCTGCTGCTTCTGCCACAAGTAGTATGACAGCCCAGAGGGGTTGAAGTAGCGCCTCTGACGTTCGTTGCCCTGCCCATCGGGATCATGGCTGTCTTGACAAGGCTCAACCTCGTCCTCTTCATGGCCCATTGCCAAGTCCTCCTCAGCCAGCATAGTCCTTGGGATTCGAGGCACCTCCCTGAGGCCAGTTCTCGAAGCATACTGGCCACTTGTGTGCCTCAAACCTGGTCCTCTTTTTGCTTCAAAGGGATACAGTGGAATATTTGCTGTTGTCTCAGCCCTCCTGTGGCTGCCTTCGGAATCCCAGGATCCACCACTGATCGCATCCTTTCCATTGAAACCAGTTTTCTTTGCTGGCATTGAAGGGCGGATGTGGAGATGATCATTGCCCACATCAATAACTCCTGTCTCCCATCCCGCCTGGCTTCCTTGGTAACCGCTGTTCTCTGCAATGTTCCTCTGTGACAGTGTGAGCCATTCCCCTTGCCTGCTGGTGTTGTTGTCCACTTCCAGCTCTAGACCACCTTCATAACTGCTGCTGTGTGCATGGTCCTGCTCATGCACAGCCAGTTTGGCAAGGCTCAACAAGGAAACAACACAACATGCAATGGACATAGATTGTCAATGGACTACGCAAGACATTTCAGTCCAGCACCACCGCTACAAGGAACCAATGATGGCTGCGCTCTGCCAAATCCATTCCGGCAATGGATATCGCGCAGCGACAATTGCTAAACTTGCCAAATGCCCACCAAACAAATAAAGGCAAGCTCCTCCTGCACTGCCCCAACCCAAGAGCTGCGTGCGAACTGCGAAATGGCGACCAATGCTGCAAGATCAACCGCAGGAGACGTCTATGCGGTCATGCCGCCCAGAAGGGTGGCAACTGTTCAGCTCTTCTTTCTTCCCACCTGGCGCCCCCTCGCCCAATTAGCCTCTCTCAGCCCCCCGGCACATCCCAGTCCTTCTCCCAGCGCCGCCCGCCAGGTTGCTCCAGCGCCAAACACGCTCTTCCAGCCGACAGCGCCCAAGGCCTCCTGCGCCTTGCGCCACCCGCAGGTCATGACCCCACAATGTGGGGAATCACTGAGTGCGCTGAATGTATTGGCGGCTGACACACAACATGCATGGACGCATTGGCCCACCCATACATTCAGGGGTTGGCTGCGGGGCCTTGCACCACAGCGCGTTGCTCTGCTGTGCTGTTCCCCGCCCGTGCAACGCCGCTGGGGGCGGTCATCCTGGACGGTTCGGACCGCTGGGCCAACGGGGTCGGGTGGTGTCCGCGCGAGGGCTGCTGGCAGAATGGCTCAGGCTGAGAGAATCAAGCTCAACGTTACGCCCCTCACGCCGGAGACATTTCGACCATTCGGTCAGGCAAGAACTTGCAGCTTGCTGGTGGTCTTTCGCTGCCTGATGCTCTGTGTGAGTCGCACGCCATCCATGATATCATGGTGTGATAGGAGCGCCTAGCTGACCAATAGATTTGTGGATGCTTGCTGCAACCCGCGTTGCGCTCTTGGCTGGCTCTGGCGTGCGGGATGGCGGGAAGTTGATCAGCCGGTCTTGTGGAACGGCAGGTTATTGGGGCGACGGAAGATGGGAAGCAGTTTGATTCCACGGACGCCCAACTGGTGCTTGACAAGGGCACGCCAAGGCACGCGTGTTCCCACGCCCTGTTGTCCATTGATTCGTGGTGCTTGGTCAGCGACGCACAAAGCTGCGAATGCATTGTGCTGTAGAACCTGACCGAGAAACTAAAATTGCCATTTGAGGCCCATCATTAGAAATGGGACTGTGCCACTCCGCACAATGTGTTTCCAGCCCTTGCTGCTCCTTTGAACAATAGCAGTCTGATGTTGTCCGTAAACACAGAGCACAGCAGATATGTAGGTGTGCAAATTGTGCACTTCGGCTCAATGGCCTGCACAATGGACAACGTCTCTGCACTGTCACAGTCGCAGCTGTATTTCATCGCTCAAACGTGATGCAAGTCGAATCCATTCAATGCACACAACCTTGGTTATACCCCAACTGGCTCTTTTGCTTCATGGACTGCATGCGCTCATGTACACATTCTCCTGCTCATTCTCTTGTTCCTCCCTCCATGTCTGGCTGGGCTGCTTGACTAGTCTCATTGCCCTATCCACTGTGTAGGTTCTACATAATGCGGATTCCCAGGAGGGGCCTGTCATTTGACAACATTACATTCCATCAGGATGTGACGCAATGCTTGGGTGCTGTAACACATAAGCCATGGTACATGGCTGTTGCCGCGCCTGGTGTGTCACCCTATCCCAGCGAGGCGGACATCAGTGTTTTTAGAGTGCCTCCCACAGTGTTTTTGAAACTTGAGTGTGGAACCTGGCATGCTGGACCCTTGTTTGCAGATTCGGAATTTATGGACTTCTACAACTTGGAACTGGCAGACACGAACATCGTTGACCATCACACACACAGATATGCCGAGGATTGCATAAGTTTCGAGATTGGTGAATAGAGTGAAGGGAAACGGGAAATGCTGATTGAATTTGGGCACATCCTATGTGTGTAATGGATTTGTATGCAGTGTTGAGAAGCACAGTTCCAACCTAAGAGTTGTGGCAGTAGCAGATGTCAGGTTTCATCAGCTGTTCCCAACAGCTTGAGGCACAACCAGAGCACTGAAGTGATGTGCAACATTGTGTTCAATCTTTCCACACTGTGTTTTGCGATCTTTTTGGGCTTGTTCAGCAACACAAAAACCCAGGCTGAGGGACTGATTTAATGGGCAATGTCGTTTGGCTTCTGTCATTCGCAGTAGCAATGGTTGGTCCATCTGCATGTTTGCAGCTTATGCGGTGGATGGCAGAACAGATATGTGCAATTGGGTGTTGGCTCCTTCTTGAAGCCAACTTCTTCCATTTGCTGTTGACGTAGGAGCGTTGGGGATCAGATACATCCTGATTTTGAATGGACTGATCGGCCACTGGCGATGTATATGGCAATCCGTAGAATAATCCCATGGGCTTCAATCTGTGACCATCACCCTTCCTAGTCCATTTTCTTGCATCCTGATCTCAATCTGCGCTCATGACGCACATGTTTGCAGTGTCATAGTCCCAAAGTTCAGACAGCAACCATCCATTTTTCTCCTTGCACCCCGATGTTGACTTGCCAACTTATGACGGAGCTTGACTTGACTGCGCATTTCCACCCACTCATCTCTGCATCAACATATGGGCGTGACAATATTCGGGCGCCACAACCCTCTCAGGCTCTCCCCCACACCACCCCAAAATAGCACGCCCTGTTGAGATCGATCGTCCCTCCGTTTGGCTCCTCCCAACCAAGACAAAAACAAAGCAAGTCGCTGATGCAAAAGAACACCTCCTTACCCTCGAAACCTCCGCCTTATCCCCAGCAATCCGATCCCCCCCCAGGCGTCCATCCCACTTCAGAGCCGTTGCTTGGCAAACGGCCACCGTGCCCACCACCATTCCGAACACAGATACATAAAACTACAAGCACGTCTCGTCAAAATTGCTCGTCAAAATGTCCACGACGCGGCCAGTGGCGTCACAACCAGATGTAGGCCCCTCAACCCCACCCACCACCCCACCCCAAGGCCCTCCATCACATCCCCACTTCTTCAAAAGCAAACTCGTCCATGTCCTCTCGCCCGCCGGCCCCCCCCCCGATCGCCCTCAAAATCTCCATCACGGCCTCCGGCGGGAAGGACCCCTCCGCCTCCCGCGCCCCCGCGCTCGCCACGACGAACCGCAGAGCGAAGGCCGCGTCCGGCAGCCCCTCCGGCCCCTCCGGCGGCCTCCTGCCCCACAGCCGCCTCAACATTGACAGGCGCCGGTTGGGGGCACGGCCCTGCATCCAAACCCTCGCGCCGCGCACCTCCAGGGTCGACTCACCGCCGCCGCCGTCCCAGGATCCGCACACGCTCAGCGTCGCCACGCTGCGCCGCAAATTCCTCAGCTGCCGCACGAAATCGGCAAATTCCTCCCTCGAAAGGCACATGCTCCACGCGTCCCCGCCCACGAACGCCGAGTACCCATCGCCCTCCCCGCGCCCCCGGTCCAACCCCAGCTTCCAGCCCCGCCCCTCCATCACCACCAGGTCCCTGGGACCGGCTTCCCCGCCCTCCTGCTGCAGCGCTCCCATCACCGTGCCTTCGGGATGCCGCTCGCGCCCCCCGTCGCCAACGACCGGCGCGACCGTGCAGCCGCTGACGTCGCAATGCAGCACCAGCCTGGGCTTGTCCGCTGCATCCGATCCCCTGGCCCCGGGCGCCGATCTGCACGTCTCGGCATTGGCCAGGAGGGACTCCGCGCCGCGCAGGGTGCCCGCCGAGTCGGCGGCGGTGGCGTCGGATGGGCCCGCCGAGGGGGGCCGGCGGGAACGGGCGGGCCGGGAAAGGGGAGGGAGGCGCTGGCCGGGGGCGCCGGAGGCCGGCGCGAGGTGCGCGGGGCTGGTGCGCGGGTTGAGCATTGCGACGCCCGCGTCGGTTGGCACCAAGGGCCAAGTCGCGCAAGCAAATCTATGCCCCGGGTCTGTGTTCGCTGGGCCAAGGGGTGGGTGGGAAGGTCCATCATGGAAAGCGGCTAATGCGGTTTTAATGAGCCTGTGGGAAGGATCTTTCCACCTAGTGTTTGTGTTGAATGGCGAGGGTGTCCTGGGTACAGACCGTGAGCACGGAGATGTGGCGGATGGGCGGATGGAAGCTGCATCGTGGAGCGCGGCTGATGAGGTTTTAATGGACCAGCGGGAAGGATCTTTTCGCCGTGTGTTTGTGTTGAATGGTGAGGGTGTCCTGGGTACAGACCGTCAGCACGGAGACGGGATGGAGGCGACACGGAGACCCTGCACATGCACACACCCTGAAACCCTAACGCCCTACCGTCCAATCCTAACCCGTCTCTGGGCCCATCTCCGTCACCGTCTCCCTCTAGAGGTCTCCCCCAAAGGAGCTCTCCTTGACGTCTTTCTACTCATGGTTTGTCGCCGGAACACTGTGGGAATAGCTGGCAGAGATCCTCTTGCAACGGGTCTTCCTTCAAAATGCATTACCATCGGTGATCTCCTTGAGAAATTAGCGAGAACACGGTTATTTCATTATCGCATCATCATGTCCAGGGCGTGCTGACACTGCGATGGGCGCTTGTGTCTTTCTTGGCCCTCATTTCGTGCCCGGTGGCAGGAGGGGGCCCCTGCGCAGCATCAGTCACGGGCTGCTCTGGCAGCATCAAAGTCCGCGCTCATGATCACTCCATTTCACGAGCATTCCATTCCATGTGTTCCTTGATGTTCAAGATGCCTTGATAATGAACGCTCCATTTCATCCACTGATTGGCGGAACAAATGCACTGCTGTTCCCTGTTGATTTTCTTGTGGGCGCTCCCATGTATGCATGCCCCCCGTCGCTCATGCGCAGCTCCCACGTTTGGGCGGTCAGAGGCGCGTCGCCCGTTACCCTCAAGGGGGCAACCGCGGGGCGTGGGCACGGGAGCGCCGGGCGATGCTGGCTGCACTGCGCGCCTTTGCCGCCCTCGCCGCGCTGGCTGGCGTCTGCGCCACCGGCCAGGAGGGTGGGTGGGAGGTCGTCGGGCCCGGGCTGACCCGCCGCCCCGTTCCACAGCAAAGTCGGTGACCCGGGAATTGGACCGGTGCAGGCCCCGCGGAGGGCCTCATTGGATGGAGGGGCGAGTCCTATCGCCCCGAGGCTGTGTGGGACAAGTTGGCCAGAGAGGTTGGTGCGATGCATGGTTATGCGCAGGTTGCGGTACAGACCGTATCACGACCGCCGGGCGCGTCACTGGCACGAAGTTGGATTTTCTGGCGCGTGTCGGATCTATAAGATTTCGGGGCATTGGTGCTCAGGCACTGACTCGATGCGTCCCTGCCCTGTCGATCGCGGCGTGTTCTGGCACGGTGCGATGGTACATTCACCTCGGGCTTGTCGTTGGCGCCGCCTGTCGATTGCTTTGCGTGCCCCATGACGACCCCATCATCTTTCTTCTCCGCAGTTCTCCGTCCCAAGGGGGCCATCTTTTCGGGCGCACACCGCGCCTCTCCTGGAGCGCTCCACACTCGATGAGTCCATGAGGTAGAAGAAAGCAACTTGCTCTGAATGATATCAAACGGGAGCGACTGAGGAAGTGAACATGATCCTCTCGTAGATCTGTCGGTGTAGTTCGTCTGAGAGGTGGCCGTTGCCTCTATTTCTGCGAATGCGCTTGCTTGATTTCGTGTGAGCGAGCTTGAACTCATTTGTTCTGCCGTTCATGCATGTCTAGGGTGCTGTCATGGGATCCAAGAGTGTTTTATTTCCCCAAACTGTTGACCGAGACGGAATGCAAGCATCTCATAAAAACTGCCATTCCCAAGGTAAGGAACGTTATGGAATACCATGAACTGTGGAAGAAGCCACATTCTTTGGTGGCAGTTCGTCCTGGTCGGAGCGCTACGGAGTATCAACTTGCAGGAACCAACCCCCCAATCAATTCACTCTGCATGATGGGCAACATTTTGGCATCAACAGCGAAATTACCAGGCACACTGTGTACACCATCGGCATGAGTTTGTGAGAACAGTTATGAAAGGCATTAGCCACACCATCAGCAGAGTGCTTTTCTCTGATACTTCAGTGTGTTTTGCTCAGCTGAAAAAATCTGTCGTTTACGACTCGAATGGCCAGCTCGTTGTTGATGACATACGGACAAGCTATGGTACATTTTTGAGGTGAGCATGGGCTGTGCAGTGGTGCAACGTTCATGCGTTGAAGCACAAGAGTGCAGTGGAACTCTTTCTTGCTGCTTTGGCAGCCAGCAAGGCATGGGCATCAACGTAATGGGGTGCTTGCCATCACAGGAGGAGGCACGACCCAGTTGTGAGGAACATATCGGAAAGGGTAGCAAGGACTACCCACACCCCTGCAGTCAACCAAGAGGATTTGCAAGTGCTGCGCTATGGAAATCAGCAATACTACAACGCCCATTTCGACACAAGCAAGAACCATTTCGAGTCGCATCGTTACATCACAATGGTCATGTATCTCGCCGGTATGCTGGAAATCCTGTACTCTTCAATATGCATGGTGGGGCAGGAAATCGAAGCTACTTCGGCCAGCTGGAGGGCTCGAACGGATGTTCTTTGCAGTGCAGCTTTTATAGTTTCGTAATTTGTAAGTCAACAAATACTCGCCGCACTGCCAAGAATGGATTCAGCGGCAGTACTTGGATGTTAGCATCAAACACACGTACCCATTCTGCCAGTGCCAGCATCGAATATGTGTCATTGAACATCCTCTGGATTGATGTCGCGCAAGATGTGAACGGACACAGACGCACAATACCTGCCATCTCCGCGGTATCACAGGCAACACTGGATATGCCAAGGAGTGTATTGCAGTTTGGTACCTACCATCCAGAACTGCAGGCGGGTGGAGTGACGGCCAAGGGAACTCTCGAATTTTCCCGGCTGCCACCATCATGCGACTATGATGCATGTGCTTGACAGCTAAATTGGAAATGGAATGCAAGAAAGTTCTTGCGATCTGCGATGCGTGCACAAAGGGGCAACATCTTGGGCTGATGAAGTCTTCCAATCTGGCCATCGTGTAGAATGCTGGTTTCCGTAGAAATATGAACTCATTCGTTCAATGAAATAGTTCGCAATTTTGCGTCGTCCATGCCCAGTCAATTTTGCGCAGGAGCAGTTTGAGAAAGGTAGGGCTCGAGGGCTTTTGTGTTGAGCTTTGGTGACCTTATCGGTGTGGCTTCTCGACCCATTACTGTCAGTCTCGATTTTCCTGGCTGATGCATATGAAACACGGTGACGAACGCCGAAATGAGCATTTCCATATCTACATTTATGGTTTCACCTGTTCACTGTTCAATGGTGCCGTCGTGATCGGGTGCTCCGTTCGATACTTTGCACGCCTGTAATGCCTGCGAAAGCTACCAATGTACTTCGGAGATACGCGGCACATCCATGTGTGAATCGTTTTCCATCTGGTGGATTGGGTTGCCCATCAATTGAAGACAGCTGTGATGCCGATGTTCTTGCTTGCGAAGATGTTGAGGAGGGCGGTGAGACAACATTTCCGGATACGGTGGCGGCCGATTCAGAGTGGGAGGCAGAAAATGGCCCGTTCTCGACTTGCGCCCAAGGCCACGTGTCAGTAAAGCCTCGGACGGTAAATCAACTCAGCTGCATAAATATGCTTGGTTCCAAATTTTCCTTCGAGAGTGCGGTTTGGCTGCGGCACTTGCTGGAATTGGTTGGACCAGTGCGCAATTCCTCCCTTAATCCTGTTGTCGAATTGTCAACGGAAATGTGTGCCAATGTGGGACAATTCTAAGAATGCTGAAATTCATCGTTTCACGCAGTCCTTCTGGACCGCTCCCCTCCAACGCAAGAAACAAGCATATAGTACAACCCTGTCCCATCCCCAAACCCCACCCCAATCCTTCTCGCAGAGATGCCTCACTGCCGGTCTGCACTCGCCGGAACACAACACTCACGGAGCAGAACTGCGCAGCCGACAGGTGCCGCTGAGGAAAGCGGTGTTAACATGCCAGCGAAGGAATCATCGGGGGGCGGTATCGATTTATATTGTTACGGCTAGAACTGATTGAGTGTTACTAATAACTGAATGCATGAAAAAATGACGAAGCACTAGGAATTGCATTAAAGATGTTGATGAACAGACTGAGTATAAAGGACGGAACGTCTCTTGTCCTTTCGCCTCGGCTGTAAACCGTTGCCGTGGACTCGAGCGTACAATTTGCGGTCAGGGATCGCCACCCCCGACCCTGCCTGCCTTCGTCAATATCTATGAATTGATGCACCTGTTCCACGACAATGGATAGCAAATTTAACCCGTGTGCTTTCAACCGAAGCCAACTTTTCAAACGATCACGTCGAAAGCGCAGAACAACATTTCGAATGCGTGGCGGTCTGAGGTTCTTCCTTTCTCGCGACGTGGCGGCATCATGTTACTGAGAGTTGGGGGTGCGTGCTCCCTTCGCACATGGGAGAAACCGATTCTCACACAAGTCCTTGATTTGTAGATGGATTGCCGCATTTGCTGTCAACAAACATGGCGGCCCTGGGACATGCCCAACGCACCGCGAGGCGCAGAGTGCTGAATAATATCAGACAATATTATGTTATACAATCATGTTATGTCTCGACTCAGTTAGTAAGAAACTGTGACATATTGCGCAACTCTCAAGGCAGCTTCAAGGCAGCATGTAGATGCCTTAAAGCGCTGGAGCAATCCCTCGGGATGGGAGTGTTCATTCCGTTGGCAGTGACGTTTTGTAATTGAAGCACTCGAGTGCTTCAATTGAAAGCATGTCGCAGTCTCGTGCATCCAGATGAGCAATTCTATTGCTGACCAGCTGCACAGCACTAGCCCTCAGATATTCCCTAGGGGCACACGCAAACGCTGTAGATTGTACTGAATGGGCACGTGTCGCCATGGCTCAAATTCAATGTCCATCATGACTCACCGGTTTCATTGTGATGCTCTTTAGGGGGACGCCGTAATGTTCTACTCGGTTACGCCGGACGGCGAGGTGGACCAGAAGACGAGACACGCTGGCTGTCCAGTCCTCATGGGAACCAAGTGGACTTCCACTATTTGGGTCCACACAAAGCCGTGGAGAGGTCAGGCAAAGTACTGGCCAGTTTCTTGCATTCTGCATCATGCCCACCACCGTGGCAGCTCCGTGTTGTGCCACAGTGCTGCAGCTACTGGCCCCTTCATTCAGTTTCCCGAAAACGGGGACTGAGTCACACTACCGCCTAAATGAAAGCACTGGTGGGTCGCAATTGCCGTGCTGACGGCAATTTGCTGCAAACAAACAGGCTTGAGCCATTCTTCGGCGCCACTGTTGGCATAAGCGGGTTAACGCGTAACGCGTAACACATTTGCCAGACCACCACACACCGCCGCACATTCCCTGCCAAGAGGTGGTGTACTGCGGGCATAGGTACGCACCATGCCTGTTGCCGATCCGAGGTGTCGCCGAATGCCAGCCGGGTGGGATAAGCGAAGCACCACATTCAATAGATGCCACCGAGGAGGGATGTCAAAGTTCACTGCCACTGCATTGCCGGGATTTTTGTAGTGCATGGCTTCGAAGGAGAACAAAGTTCGCATTTTTTAGTATTAGGAATCCCAATTTGATTGCCGCGCGGCGCGCGAGTTCGACTGCCAGAGCTGATCGTGTCTTTTGGTTGCGAATTTAGCTGAGGATTTCTACGACGAAAGCGCGGAGGATGCGGCCGTTGATCCAGGCGTCTGTGAAGACTTCCATGAGAATTGCGAAAAATGGGCGTCCGAAAATGAATGCGAGAATAATCCAGTTTACATGGTGCGTGGAAGAAAACAGCGCGTTTGAGATGTGACGTTCAGCTGCACCTCGCCAATTTCATCAACAGCCTTTGGCCCAATGCCGCCGCTGATTCCTCAATGCAAACAGCTGGCAGATCTCACTCGATGAGTTGCCTTCGGTGCAGGTGGGCCAGGGTGAAAAAATGGGCTCTTGTAGGAAGAGCTGTGCCGTGTGCCGCGTATGCAGCCCAGGGGATCGGGAATGCTACAGAAAGAATCGAGAGCAAGCAGGATACCTCGACTTGGATGTGGATGCCGAAATCAGCAAGGCATTTCCCGTCGAGTAGCACCCAATGTCAGCGGATCTTAATGGTGCGGATGCAAACTGCTGGTTTTGCTACAGGTGCCCGATCATGCAGGGATCCCATTTGGGCCAGAGCCATGTCCAACAGAGGGCACTGATATGCTCTTCAAGGCCTCGATTTGTGCAGTAACCCGCGAGTATGTTTCATCTCGAAGAGGACGCATCAGACATAAAATTTGCGCTGTGGCTGAGCTGCATGTGATTAGGTTTGCCATTCTACGGTGGTTGGCAACGGCCGCAAATGTGCGTAGGCAATGAGTTACAAACAACAAGCATGCAAAGGGAGGTTTGGGTAGGCCAAAATATGATCTCCAGCGAATGCCAACACCGACCCACAATTGTGGACTGTGTTTCTGCCTTGTGTGCAGTCCACTGGACGTATTCCTTTGCAATCGACGGCCAAGAGACACCATATGGGCAATGGAGGCCATCTTCGTACCGATAATTTCGCATGAAAGACACACTTTGCAGCACACACGGAGTCCGTGCACTTTGCCATTGGCGCATTTGCACATCACTGTACATCAGTTGGCACACCGCGGATATGGTCTCTATGGGTATTGTCAAGCCACGTGCAAGCATCAGGGGCCAGAGAGGGTGGCGAACCGGCATCGTAAGTCATGATTACACACGCTCTCTTGATCTAAAGCTGCTGTCAGCTCCCAATGCAAAAATTGGGTCCCTTGCGGCCGCTCTTCTACAACCCGACTTCAACTCTCTCAACGCATCGTGCCTGCGGCCCCATCTACCTACACGACTCACCTACACCACTCGGCTCCCAATAGTGTACCCCATGCAATTCGTCCATCTCCCACCCGCACGGGAAACGACTGAGCGCGTCAATAACAATAGCGGCCACGGGATGCGTCCGTTCCCTTTTGCCAATAAATGGATCCTAATTCTGCAAAGCCGAGAATACTCCAGCTGGAATCTACTCTCAAGCAACTCCCACGCATGGAAACACTAAATGCACTACTGCGTTACAGCTGCCCCATCACCCAAGCAGCACAGCAACCAGGTGATCAGGCGATTATTCACTCCAAAATACGCTGGAAACTGGGCATCGAAAGAACTGCCGATTCCCCACACTCATTCACTCCTAGGCCCCTCTTCCTTCTGTGCTCCAGACAGAAGTCGTTGCATGAATCCTAGAGGCCTCTTCGCAGACCTGCACGGGACGTTTCCTTCTCGTGCACCAGCCAGGAAAGTCTCGATTGGCTCTTGCATTGCCATTGCAGAAAGTCGCTCCCACTAAAGGCTCACGATCAGCAGCCCGCTCCCATCCCACCTTCCCCTATCCGACAGGGCAGCGAGCATGCAGTCCAAGCCCGATGCACATGTTCAGAGTCGATTTCATGGCAGCGGTTCCTGCATGTTGCCGAGCCTGTTCAGGTGTAGGTATGCGTCCGTGCCATATCCGTCCATCGAAATGACCTGCAGGTCCCCTCCAAAGTAGCGAGCGTACAACCTGCTCAACGGCAAGCCGTAACCATAGCCGGCCAGCACCGTGGGCCCATCAGAGCCTTCGTCGTCAACGAAGGGGAGGGGGGAGGCTGCGGTGGAGTACAGGTAGGTAAAAATTCTGGGGACGTCACTCCTGGGGATGCCGCCCCCTTCGTCAGATACCTTGATGGTGATCTCCTCTGCACCCTCGGCAACAACTAGCCTGCAAGGCATACCCTGCAATTAGCACCACTGGCGTAGCCCCGGGTTGCAAACGCCAGCTTTGATCACCTTTGTGTGGGATGGTTGGTGTGTCAATCCCTTGATTGCTGCTACCTTGTGAAATGAAGGGCACATTCATAAAGAAGATGTGCTGCCTGTCTTATGCATGAACAGGAATCCCCAGGCCACGATTTCACAGCAACAGGCATCAAATGGGGGCCATTACACCAGCATCGACTGTCAGAGCGACTACTTGCCCGTTGAGGTGCAGACAAGATGGAAACGTTGGCACCAACATAATTGCTTTCCCCGGCTACTCTGTGTGGTGTGCATATCCTGATGCAGCTGGTGACTCCTGTCAGCTAATTTGTGTGGGAAGGCTATCAGAAATCAATGGATGTTCTGCCTTTTCTTGACAGAAGCTGAGCATTTCATGACTCCTGTTCCCAAAGTTCATCGGCATCATCACCACAAGTGAGAAAATGCCAGACACTCAGTTGGGTATCATCAGCCCAATGTAGCACATCTGGGGTGTGTACTACACCATATGGCAGTTACTAACTACAAAGATTGCAGCATGGACTGATTCATTTGGATCTGGTTGTTGTGCCATGTTGTCCAGTGGCATTATACAGGTGTGAACTTCACCATGAATAAGTGAATCAGCAAGAAAACTTCTGCCATGCCCTCAGGCTTTTTTCCATCACTCATTAACTTGGTCTTTCCATCTATCTTCCTGCCTTGTTCCAGGCTTGCATACATTGACTTAGCTTGGCTGCATTTCTCAGAACTTAGGTCCATTTTGTCCTGTGCTTGATAAAAAAGGATATTTGCTGTCAGCAAAGCCTGATGCAGGCTTTCCTGTGGAGATTTTGCTTGACAACACTTTTTAAAACATGACACAATTCTGCCCTTCACCCTAGAGATCATGGAGGATTTCCTGGGAGGTCAAAGATGACGTCATCCTCACTCAATCGGGACCGCTATTGAGCATCGCAATTGGGTCCCTGGTTCCTCACCTGATGGCTGGAGACTCCTTGCCTTGTTCCTCAAAAAGGTCGTTGACTGCTCTCAAGGAATTCTTGACCAGCTCAAACACCATGCTGTGAATGTGCGAAGGGACATAGGCAAACACAAACGTGGGATCCCCGTATATCTCCACTTCTGGTGCACTGCCATATTTTCTTTGGCAAACGGAACGGGCATCGTCGATCGCATCTTGGGACACCTTCCAAGGGGAACACTTTGTGTAGATCATGCCAATGTGATTTTCCATGGGCTCTGCATGCAATTCAATATGTTGACCTGCAAGATCAACCACAAGATTGGCCAATGAACAACAAGCAAAGCTTCGCCAGCTCTCCATCAACATGGAATGTGGCTGACAGGGGTAAACCAACAGCACCTTTCCAACACTCGTGCCAGCCCATCAGCTTGGGGTTCACTACATGGCTTGAACCCTGGGAAGCGTGCTTCCACACACTTCACACTTGCGTAAAAACTTCAAAACTCCACAGAAAACTGAACAGGTGTTGGAAACGTGTGCCAAATGGTGCTGTTGCTCACCTATAAGGAACCGTATTCCTATTCTGCTCATGTAGAAGCCATCCAAGAATTGATGTATCTCCGGCAGCTCGTTCAAGCCCACTTCGCTGGCTAGCTCGTGCCTCAGCTCCGCAACTCCTTTTGCCATCAAAGGAACCACATTGGTGTGCCGAGAGTAGATCATCTGCAGAAGCTCTGTGAATTTCAATTCGTCCTGCGCGTTCCTGACCGGCGGAAATTTCCGAAGGTCCAAGAACGACTCTATGTACCAGTCGCGAACCTGCACAGAAGATCACAGTGTCAACGGGAAGGGAGCGCAGCACGCAATGATCGCCTCTACCTCGGGCAAGAATTGTTGTGAGACACTTTCCACAAGAGATGCCACACAGCTGAGTCCAGGCTGCGAAAGCTTCACTGGTCAGCAAGCAGATAGCATCCGCGTCTTGCTCAGCAGTTTCCCCGCACACTACCGTTGATAGTTGCCTGGAGATTACTTTCTATCGGTGCGCATGCCTCTTCGCACAACTGCCCCTCTATGTGCGGCGGGATTGCGCAAAAAGGCCCTTGGGGCGGCACCTGCCTTGGCAGGAGGGCGACTCTTCGGCGCAGCGTTCACCAACGCCACCCCCTGACCATTCTGAGACGGTCCCGCCACCTCGCGCTTGCGGGCGAAGTTGGGCCCGACCTGCAGCGCACCAGCTTCCTACGGTGTCCTTATCGCCGAGCACCAGCCCCGCCGTTCGACAACAAGGCCCCCTTCCTCCACCCTCGATCAGTTGGCGCTCCCAATCTTCCCCTGAATCCGCCCCCATCGCTCCCTGCCCACTGTCCAAAAAGCGATGACGGGCGATTTGCAACGCAACGATGCGAGGGGTGCCATGCAGCGTCCCTGAAAGCTACGCGGGTCGATCGAGTGGGACAAGCCGCGCAACGGTGCCATCAGAAGGGCAGGACCGCCCGGCGCCCGCGGGCGCACCTTGAGCACGTGCGGCTTGGACGACAGACCGTAGGGCAGGTTCTCCAACTCCGCCACCCGGCGCGCCAGGCGCACCGGCAGCTCGCGGTGCAGGAACTGCGCCGACAGGATCATCTGGTGCTGTATGGGGTTGGCACCGAAGTCCAGCATGTACTTGAGGCTCACGCCCGTCTGCTTCCTCAGCGCGAACGCGAAGATCTCGTCCACCGTCTCCTGCGGGTAGCTGTCCGCCAGGCGCGAGCGCAGGACGCCGCGCACGGTGGACGCTGCCTGGCGACCCGCTGTGCGCGCCAGGCGGGACACCACCGAGGCCGCCTGCGCCATGCCGCCGATCCGGCGGAGGGAGAACCCTCCCCACCGTGTGTCCCCACCGTGTGTGGGCGCTGTCCAACGCTGACGGGATCAGGATACAGAGGGCGCCATCCTCGGCAGCTTGCGGGAAGCGGAGCCGTCCGAGATGATCTGCTGCGCCGGCGGGGTGGGATTTGCTGGCGTCTCGACTGCAGCGTCGGGAGGGTCGCCCGGTCCCCAAGCGATGGCTCGGTCCCTCTTGGGACACCCTCCAGCCAGCGGGTGCGGGGGCGCCAAGTAGAGCCTCAAGGCCACATGACAAAAAGCGATTAAGGGGGGCCCTTCGCCAGGCAGCTTCCACCCGTGCCATTCGCTTGTTGCCAGTGGGCCCCAGGGCGTGAAATTAGTCGTTTTGTCTTTTCTGTGAAGATCCCTTCTTGTTTCGGCACCCTAAACCCTTAACCACTGACCCACCGACCAACGTTGGCCTTGCCAGCGGAAGAAGGGATCCTCGCGGAAAAGACAGAGGGACTAATATATTCTCCGGGCGCTAGTATCCCAGATGGGCTTTCAAGGATGCGGCCAATCGTGGAAGGGCAAACCTCAACTGTTGGTTGGGTCATTCAGGCCCCCGGACCGATTCCTTCGCTGCAGCGTGGTTTCAAGAAATCATCACAGGTTGGCATTTTATCCTTGGTGGGCGTGCCTGGAACTCTTCCACAGGCAATTGTGTCTGAGGGATCACTTTAAGCCCAGCTCGCATAAATGAGGCGGTGATGAGAATGCAAGCCAAGGATCCAGCGAAACAACATTTGTTGTACCACAAACTTTGTTGTCACAATTCGATTGGGATTGTGCTGCTGTGCGCTGCAAAGCAGCAATGGCACTTTTGTGCCAATGCAAAATGGGCCCACAGCCAAGCAAGGTAATACATGACAGGACATCTTTGAGCCCCACTAAGGCTCTGAAGGTTGGAGTTGGAACACAGCACAATTGCATAAAACTGTATCTGGGCAACCCACATTGCGCTTCTCAGGACAAGGGACAAAGCTGCTTGCCACAAGCAGGCCAACCTCCGGTGGACGAGGGCGACTTCCAACCGTTCATCCAAACGGTGGCCATCGTTCATGTGGGCACAGATTGGCAACATGGCCAATCTGTGCCCATATCAAAGGGAACAAACCCCTCTATCGGCACAACATCTTTCCACAACTGCTACAGAGTCAGCTGAAGGAGTTCTAAACTACAAAGTTCTTGTGTTGGAGACCTGCACCCAAAAATCTCTGTCCATTGGAATACTGGAGATCAGCCTGACAGGGGCATGGGATGTGCGTGCACAATCACACCCATGATTCGCACACAGCAAGTGCTCTATAAGTCCCCAGTGCACTGCCATATCGTTGCCTTGAACTTATGCTGTTCCCCCTGCTATGAAGCCCCAAAGACCACTCCCCTTCTGCTGGCTCTCCTGTGCTGCCCTCCTGTAAGCCTCTAGCTCCTTCTCGAGGTCGGCCATTGCTACAAGCTTGTGCCTCAGCTCTGCAGCCTCTGCCTCGAGTTTCAGGGTCTTGGACTGCTCCGCCTGGAGTTGAGTTTTTGCCTCTTCAAGGGCTTTCTCCTTTTCCTCCAACGCTGTTTGTGCTGACAGCAGCTGCCTTCGCATGAGGGCTAACTCTGTGGCAGCGAATTCCTTGGCAGCAGAAGCCTCTCTTGCAGCATTCTCAGACTCTTTCCAGGCTGATTGCAGGTTCGCCTGCACAGAGCATGAGTTTGATGCTTTGTCAAAGGATGTGTTGAGATGCCCTTGACGCTAGCCAGCCAGCCACACCAAGATTGCACATAGTTGTCCACAAACTATGCGGAGTCTACGACACTGGTGTTTAACAGGGTAGATGGACTCACCAGACAGTGCATTGTGCACACCGCAATCGCACTGCTCTTCGTCCCAAACAAGTGCATAAGGAGGATTTACAAGCAGACTTCCCTCCACGCCAAATGGGCACATTTCCCATCCCAATTTTAAACCCGGTGGGCAGTGTCCATCACATAGGCAATGCACACTTCTACTTCCTTCTTGGGTGATAATAATATGCATGCAACGGAACATGGCATGACGCCAGTTCCATGTAAATAAACATACAAAGATGCCAGCAAACGCATTTGCACTAAATTCCCAGCCATTTGAGCTGTGTACGATGTTGTTTGGTCCATCTGTGGCTGTTCTTGGATCGAAAAGATGCAGCTGCTACAAGATTTGATCGAATCAGGACTGAATAAAGGAAGTCAAACACTGCAAAGAGTTAGTTGTAAGGCTGGTTGTGGGCCACAATGCGAGTCACTAAGTGAACCGTTCGATGTGTTGCCATCCTCTCTGACTCAAGTTTGAACGACCTTCCAATGCACTGAAGGAAGTTCGTTCCTGTGCAACCCTTCATTTCTCCATTCCTTCCCCTTGAACCCTGCACTCTGGAGTGTTGACAGAGCTTGTCATGCGGATATCCTGTGCATGCACTTTTGATTTGCATCGACCTGCAGCTGAAACTGGAATGCTCTCTTAATCTTTTGGGAAACTGGAACAAAACGACGCATACATCAACACACCTGCATCTCAGCCTCTGTCATGTTTTCCACGCCTTGAGGCCCTTCCAGCCCTTGCGGTGCCTGGGGTGCCTCCCCCCGTCCATTCGCCTGTGCTTCCTGCTGGGCCCCCTCCTGTGGCCGCCCCTCTCCAGCCTCGTTGCCCATGGAACTGCTCCCAGGGCGGAATATGCTCACGCTGTTGCTGTACTTCCCATTGTACCCACCAAAAGACACGAGCACCCCAGCCTCCTGCACACTGATCAGGCTCATGCCCTCACTGGCGATAATAGAGCGCTCTGGAATGGCCCCCACCAGGGACCACGACATCTGCAGCCACTGGGCGCTGTCCCCGAACGCCACGTACAGGGGTGAGCAGTCCAAATAGGCCATGTCCGTGCAGCCTGCTGCATTGTTCCCACCCCCCACTATGTACAGATGGTCGCCCAGCATCCCTGCAACGTGGCCCGCTCGTGGCGAAGGCAGGCCGCCGTGCATCTTGGGCTGCGCCCACTCCATGGTGCTGGTGTCAAGGATGTGGAGGTCGTTGAAGCAGTTCGCCACAGAGCCCCCGCCAAACATGATTACGAACCTGTCAGTGGAGTATCTTAGTGAGGTGGCAAGAACAAGTGGTGTTGAACAAGCATTGTCGTTGGAAAATGCCTGTCATCAATTTGAAGGCAGCTGTCTACTCGTCAAGAGTGTTGCTCTGTCACATGCTGACTCGCCCTTGGCAGGAAGGACAAGCAGAAATACTACGCCAAGGACAGTGCAAGGACTGCCACAAGCCTGTTGATGAAAGGTGGACCAGAAGAGCTCGCCTGAGGACACAACTTCATTTTACACACAGCATCTGACAAAGTCTTCCAAGTCAGCAACCACCACTTCGTCAGATTTTGGCCCATGCTCGATGAGGACGAACCTGTCATTGAAGGGCACAGCCACATGGGCTGAGCGAGCCGATGGTGCCTTGCCAGTGACTTCGGGCTCGATCCATGCAAGGGATTCCAGGTCCAGGATGTGGAGGTCCCCGAGGGGTCGACGGTTGGAGTCCTCCCCACCAAAAATGTAGAGTTTGTGGCCCACAAGTGTGCACTGGCCAAAACCAC